GCGAAAACAACCAATATTTTTGCTACGGGGCCTGCAGTAGCTTCAACATCAGCTGCAGTACCCTGCGACACATTTTGTTTGACACATGCATGCAGATAGATATTCATGCCAATGGTGTCACGCTAACTGTTGAATTTAATAGTCCATTAATCTACAGGGTGTCGTAATGCTAGATAGAAAGATATATTGCAATATGCCAGTAAAGGCAGACAAGAAGAAGACTGCCAGCTAGTAAACATGGCTGTAAACAATGCACATTTCACACAAAAATTGGCTTTGTAAGTGTCTTGAGTAAGGAAATGCATTAGTCATGTTAGACCTCAAGGATAAACACAATGACTTGTGAGAGACACTGTATGTACACATACCTTTTCAAAAACAGGTTACAAGTTGCTTTAACAAGTGCAAAGACAATCAAAGCAAGATAACACTAAAATACATGTTAAAAGTAAATATTAAATATATGTAAAACAGAATAAAATAAAATCAGGAAAGGCTCTCCTATAAAAGTATGTTTTAAGAAGGGAGTTCACTGACTCAGCAGACCTGATTTCCTCAGGAAGGCTGATCCAGAGCCTCAGGGCCCCGACTGCAAATTTGTCCCCTTTATTTTTCAGTCAAGACTCTGGAACAGACAACAGACCTCTGCCTGAGGATCTCAAGATACGTGCTGGTGCATATTGGACTAAAAGGTCAGAGATATAACAGGGAGAGAAGCCATGAAGAGCTTTAAAAGTGATCAATAGAATGTTAAAGTCTATTCTAAAACAAACTGGGAGCCAGTGTAGTGAATCCAGTATACGGGCGATGTGATCATATTTCTTTCTTCTGTTTAAAAGCCTGGCAGCTGAGTTCTGCACACCCAGTGCCTCAGTCTGTCAAACATGATGTTATGATCAGTGGTGTCAAAAGCAGCGCTAAGGTCCAGGAGTACTACGACTGAGCACATGCCTTCATCAGCAGACATTAAAAGGTCATTGGTGACGTTAAGCAGGGCAGTCTCAGTGCTGTGGTACTTCCTGAAACCAGATTTAAACTTTTCAAATATGTTGTTGTTTTCCAGTACAAAGAGCAGTTGTTTGGACCTAAAATCTTTGCTATAAAAGGTAGTTTGGAAATTGGCCTAAAGTTTTGAGGGCGGAAGGGATCCAGACCAGGCTTTTTAAAAGTGGGTTTATTCAAGCAGCTTTAAAAGTTGTTAAACTTTTTAAAAACAAGTTTATCTCTCCCCATTCATTTAGATATGGGCCTAGTCTTGTTAGTCTGAAAAAACTGCCTGGAGGTGTTACCAAGATGGCTGCTGAGTGACAGAACTTGCCTATAAGGACTTTGTTTACCTTCACCACTCTGCAAAAAACGGTGATGTCAAAAGTACCCAGGACAGTAAAAAATGTCTCTGGAAAGTAGCAACTAGTTTTGTTTTGTCACACCTGCTCAACGGTGATGATTGTATATTTGACGCATCTCTCTGTGATTATAGTATCAAAAATATAATTTTTTAAAAATGATTACCCAAAATTAAATAAACAATAATTGTCTTAATCAACACAGACAGACTGGCACCACTGAGGGACACAACAATGGCAGAGCTCAGGCTTTCTAACTATCCACTTAAACCACAAAATGGCTCCGTAGCTACACTGATATGCTGATGTAAATTAGCAGATTTTTAGATTATAATTACACCTTGTGCCTCCTCAGAGGCAAAGCCAGTTAAAGTGGAGCCTTATGGAATAGTTGGGGAGGTAAATGAGAGTGTAGCCATGAACAAAGGACATTAAAAAGAATTCCCTTGCTGGAAACACTAGGCTACCTGGAATGCTGGAAGCCTCCAGAACAGGTGATTAGGCAGGAATAGGTGTCATTAAAACTCCATTAGCACAAAACCCAACCCCTTGTGCTCACCACAAACACATATGCATACACTGCTGAGGCCATAAAAGTGAGTGTGTGTGTGTGTGTGTGTGTGTGTGTGTGTGTGTGTGTGTGTGTGTGTGTGTGCGCACTGAGTGCATGTGTATGTTCTCTGAGTATCTAATGACTCATTTAGGACCCCTACCTCTGGGAATGTGACAGTAAGGACCCTCTTACATCTGCCTCACTGAGTGCCTGCTTATTAATTAAACACAGCTGAGGCAGGGGGACGGCAGCAGTCCTGCATATCAGCTTGTCAAGTTTCACACTGTGTAGGGCTAAATGAAAAAGGTCCTTCTGTGAGTGCAGCCCCTGGATTTTGGTTCCATGCATCAGAAGTAATTACAAGAAATTCATGAAATGCCAAAACAAACCCCAAAGACACTAACATGTGATCAGACTTGGATTACCTTCTTATTGTTTGAGAGGGATGTAGAAATACAAATAACCATGGGTGTTTGGGTAAATGTGCAGTGTATGTAAGGGTTTTTCAGTCCTAGGGAATTATTTGCGATGCTAGACTACAGATTTCAGCCACATCTTGAGAACGAGAGAACTGGATCAGTGAATTAGTTCTGTGAATGCCAATTATAATTCTACCATTAAAACCTTCTTCGCTGGCCTAATAATTTCCCTCTAAAAGTGTTGTTCTAATTATGAATTAAATTCAAATAAGCTTGGGTAATGAACCCAGTTGTATTCCTTTCTGAGGTTGTGCTTTTTTTGCCTTTGCTGCAGCCATACACAACAGTCTGGCTTTATTCATGCATCCTGAGCTGGACTTCCAGAGGTGTTTGAGGGAGTATTTCTGTGTATTATTGTGTAATTCACATAGATAGGCCTCCAGATTGTGGCTGCTTTACCTTTTATTGAACTTCTTCATATGGCTTTTTTTAATGCTCTCATATTGCCTTTCTATTACAGCTTTTGCTGAAATGACACAGAATTCCATTTGCTGTAATGTCCAAGCTATTGCCTTTGTTTACACTGCGGTGGTTGTCTCGCAGAACGGTAATGAGAGATTGAGCCAGTTGTTCACAAGTCCCATTTTAACTGACTAAAGGAAAGTGCCACTGCAGTCCACTGTGGCGAAGGCCGAGCCCAGATGGAATCTGTACTGCAATGGCCACTGCCGTGCCCACAATCATTAATCCTTAAAACTGGACCACTAACAGGGAGAAAAGAGAAGGAGTGTATACTGCATGTATGTGTGTGACTGAGCCTCTTCTAGCAGAAAGCCACCAAACACAATGAAAAACTGCTGAACTGCTGTGCTGAAGTGACACAAAAAAGCAGTTTGGGAAATCACTGGTGAAGTCAACATTAGATTCAAAACCTTTCTAGTAACCCTGCAACAATGAAAGTTTCTACAGTTTTACAAAAAAAGTTAATTAAAAAGAGGAAACGGAGAAAGAAATCACACAACTCTGGATATGTCTGCTGCCAGCTGAATTCCATAAAATGAAATGAAACTATTCTATATTTAGACCTAACTTGCCAAATGCTGAAACCTAGTTTCTGGTTTTGTGTTTTTGCGGGTACATGATCTTGGGGAATGGGTGGAGTAACCTAAAGATTAAGTGTGTAAGTTTTAGTGACATCTAGTGGTGAAGGTTGCAAATTGTAACAAACTCCTCACTCACAGACCCTCCCCTCCCCTTTCCAAGCACATAGGATAGCTACAGTGGTCGACATAGGACAAAAGGTTTCATCTCTGAGACAGCAGAGAGTCGACAGTCAAGACATGAGGTTTGTTTAGATAAATAGATTAATGAATTATATTTACTGAATTATTCAGTAAAACAATATGTTATTGTATATATAATATTAATATATTTTTGTTAATTGTTCATCAAACAACAGCAACATCAATAACTGAAGTGCCACATGATGTTATGCATACTCCTGTAATACATTATTTTATTGTACTGTAACCATACATCTGTTACATCTCATTTTGTTACAATAAACAACATCTCAAAAACTATTTCATCTACACTGTAAACCCCAATTCGCTCACTCAACTTAAATTTTTTTTGGAAACAGCTTGCACTCAAAACTTTTAGTTAATAAAATACAGTAACATGAAAGTTTTGAGTACAACTGACACAAAATGATTGCATCACATGACCCTTGTCTGACTGAAAATTTACATCAGTTCAACATAACTTTTTTTTTTTTATTACACGACAAAATAAATTGTGCTGTTTGAGCATTTAAATTTGTGTCACGTTAACAGGAAATTTATATGTTATATGACATAAAAAATTACAAGCTTGCTAAATGTTTATTTTTATGTTTACTGAACACAAAGAAAACTATTTGTAATAACTTTATCATTTTATGTACAAACAACAATTGGATATTGTTATTTTAAAGTCAACTGAACATAAAATTCTCCATTATTCAGCTAAATTCAAATTCGCTCACTCTACTTAACTTTTTTAATTACACTACAAAATTAGTTGTGCTGTTTGAGTGTTTAAATCTGTGTCACGTTAACAGGAAATGTAAAAAAAAAAAATGTATAGGAAATGTAAAGTTATATAAAATTTACAAGGCCACTGAATTGAAATTTTTATGTTTATTAACCACAAATAAAATGATGTGTAATAACATGAATACAATAACATGAATTTTATGAGTACACTAGACACAAAAATAATTGTGTAACATGGACCTCGTCTGACTGAGGTTTCTGTCAGTTCTACAGAAATTTATCAACCACATGATGAAATTCTTTGTGTTTTGATAACATCGATTATATGTCAAATTATGTGGGAATATCTAGTATACGTAACACAAGTTATGTTTAAGTTGTTAAATGTATATATTGTTTTTCAAAGGACAGGATTTGTGTTTAGAACCAAAAATCTATTTTGTTAAGTGTACAAACATTTATTCAATATAAATTCTGCTATTATACAACTCATTTTAAAAACACCTTGCACTCAATAAAAAATTAAAATGTTAGGTATCATGAACACATCTTTCTATTGTTCATACAAACTCCCACGTTGTTTCTACCTTCTCATTGCTAATCCGTAATACATGATTATGTAAGAAAATATCTGGACATTAGGGTCTAAAGTGTATCTTTTTTATTTAGCAAACTGTAGAATCCAACATGACACTGCACTGATTTAAGGGCCACAATCACAGCTATAACAGCTTAACATCTTCTCAACAAAACAGCATCATTTCAACATATTTGCAAGTACTTTTCTTACACTACTTTTGTAGTTTACAGATAATGTTTGGTGGTTTCAGTTTTACTCCATCCACATTTAGCAGGATTTCTAAATGAACTCGAAATTATAGGTCAAGCCTTTAGAGTACTCAGGCTGGAGGACATATAGCCATACAAAAACAGGAGTACATCAGGCTAGCAATCAGTCTAGTGAAAGACAACCTGATCCTGGAGGAAGACCTTGACTTCACAGGGATGGAATGGCACCATGCTTATATCTTTACTGTCAGCAGTGATTGATGCTATGGTAGGACCTTGGTCTGCACCCTCCTGGAAAATATGCCCCAAAATTTACAATTACAACTTTGATTAAATTACACACACACATACACACACACACACACACACACACACACACACACACACCTCAGTACTATAAATGAATACATTATTTAGCATTACCACAAAGTTACAGCCAATTCAGGATTAGAAGGGAACCAAACATCACATATCATGCAAACTCCTCATAGACCAGTGGTAGTTGACCAGGACAATCACAATCCAGTTTAATGACACTACAGTATCATATTAATATATCATATTAATACATTTTAATGGTCAGAACATTATCATTATTATTATCATCATCATCCATCTTAGGTTAATTGAACTAGTCTAACTTGCAGGTATGATCACTCAATTATGACCGGACCAAAATAGTAATGTGACACACACAGTTGAAAGACAATAAAAAAGGTGTAATATTTACAATATATAGGCCTACAGCTCATCCTAACTTTAAATACAGTGTTCTCGACATACTTTATTGGGCGGGCCACCCAGGTATATTGACAGCTGCCAAAGTATATTGGACGACACATTTTAGCATTTTGCAAAGCAACACAGAGATGTAAACTGGTGTCACTTCACACACATCGCGGGTGAGTGACTTTAAACGATGTACTACTGGAGAAGGTCAGCAGAGCAGAGACTCATACAGGGCGAGAGAAGAGGTGGGGCAAGCAGGTGTATTTGCAGTGAGAGACCGGAGGTGTAGGTGTGTATGTGAGTGTGGGGGAAAGAGAAGTGAAGAGAAATGGAGCAGATTCAAGTAATGAGGAAACACTAAAATAAGGTGGAGAATTAACTAGAATTGAAATAGTTAAATAATGTATAGTATACACATATAGTCTACAAGCTCTCGCATTTTGCACCATATTTACACCATATTTCTACACAATCATGGACAATACTTTAAGTATGAATGTAGCATTTCATAACAAGACCCTGTAAGAATAATGACCCCAGGGTTACTTCTGCATTTACCAGGGGTACGAGGAAAGCTTGCTATTTGAAAAATAGAAATGATTATTTATTTGAAAGACTATATATATACACAAATTAAGGCAGCTGTAACACCAGTACTATACCTGTTGCAATTATGTAAAAGTGCATGAAAACTAACCCCGGACTCACACAGGCGGCGTGTGCGCTGCGTTTAGCCTGCCCCACATTGTTGACTGATCACAGCACTCCGTCAAAAATAGACCGGCTGCCTATTAATCGCGCAGCGGAGCAGAGAGCCGCTTCTGGGACGCGCTGCTGCACTCCTAGTGTGAGTACAAGCACTGACTACAGTGGCACCGATAAGGTACGGCAGCCGTAATGCAGCGCACACGCCGCCTGTGTGAGTCCGGGGTAAGTCTAATGAGGTAGCTAAAAGTAATCATTGGTCATCACCTTCAGTCAAAGTGGTGGTATGATTCCTTCCCAAACTAACCTTAAAGGGATTGTTTGCAATTTTTAGAAATGGGGCTGTATGAGGTGCTTATCCACAGTCACAGTGAGTTGCGTGAGGAGGCTAGTTGTTTAGAGATGCACCGATCAATTGGCTGGGGACTGGAATAGGCCGGTTTTCAGCTTAAGAGGCCATGACCGGTGACCGGGTCCGAGCAGCATCAAATATCCGATTTTCTGGCGGTCACATTTAAAGGTACACACAGTCTAAGGGTGTTTTACACACACAGTGGCACAGACAGTAACTGGCTATTGTCACAGCCTCACATGCTAAAACATGTTAGAAGACACAATGCTCGCAATTTACACGTTCAGAGAATCACACAGGAAGAGACGCTATCTTGTTTTGGGTTAGAAGGCGAGGACACGGAAAGGACCAGGTAAAGCAACAGTGAACACACCTGTTGGTGCTGATGTCATTTAGTACCACGTCTTACATTTGGTCTTGATTTGTAATTAACAACTTTAGTGAAGCACCGATTGCATTTTCCCTGGCTGATTCAGATTTTTTGTCAGAGTGTCTGACCTGCCAATTTTGGCCGCAGTTAGGGCAAGCAGAAGGCCTATTTTTTGTAAATATTACACCATAAACATATTCTGAAGGAGCTTTATTGCCAAGTAGTGTTTTACACATACAAGGAATTTGCTTTGGTGTTAAGGTGCTATACACAGACAGACATACAGCTGACATAAATAGATGTAGAAATATATAAATATGTAATAAACAGATGCAAGTTATATAAGAATAACAGAAGAATAGAGAAAAATAATACAACTGACAATATAAAAATAAATAAAAAAATAGTAAAAATAAAAATAACAATGGAACAACAATTTACAATTAACAACAAATATGTGCAATGTGCCAGGTTTGTGCATGATATGACATGAAGTGATATTTACATGACCGCAGCCTCCTGCCAGAGGGGAGAGTCTGAAACAGTTTGTGACCGGGATGGGAGGCGTCAGCTGCAATCTTTCCTGCTCGCCTCAGAGTCCTCGAGGTGTACAGGTCCTGAAGTGATGGAAGATTGCAGCCAATCACCTTCTCTGCACAGCGAATGATACGCTGCAGCCTGCCCTTGTCCCTGGCAGTGGCAGCAGCGTACCAGATGGTGATGGAGGAGGTGAGGATGGACTCAATGATGGCGGTGTAGAAGTGCACCATCATTGTCTTTGGCAGGCTGAATTCTTCAGCTGCCGCAGGAAGTCCATCCTCTGCTGGGCCTTCTTGGTGAGGGAAGTGATGTTCAGCTCCCACTTGAGGTCCTGGGAGATGATGGTGCCCAGGAAGCGGAAGGAGTCCACAGCGGCGACGGAGGAGTCACTCAGGATGATGGGGGAGGGTGGGGCTGGGCTCTTCCTTAAGTCCACGACCATCTCCGCGGTCTTCAGAGCGTTGAGCTCCAGACTGTTCTGGCTGCACCAGGTCACCAGATGGTCCATCTCCCACCTGTAGGCGGACTCATCCCCACCTAAGATGAGCCCAATGAGGGTGGTGTCGTCCGCAAACTTCAGGAGCTTGACAGACTGGTGACTGGAGGTGCAGCTGTTGGTGTACAGGGAGAAGAGAAGAGGGGAAAGAACGCAGCCTTGAGGTGAATCGGTGCTGATGGCCCTGGAATCAGAGACATGTTTTCCCAGCTTCACGTGCTGCTTCCTGTCTGTCAGGAAGTCAGTGATCCACCTGCAGGTGGAGTCAGGCACGCTCAGCTGGGAGAGCTTGTCCTGCAACAGGGCCGGGATGATGGTGTTGAAAGCAGAGCTGAAGTCCACAAACAGGATCCTGGCGTAGGTTCCTGGGGAGTCCAGGTACTGGAGGATGTAATGAAGGGCCATGTTTACTGCATCATCTACAGACCTGTTGGCTCTGTAGGCGAACTGCAGGGGGTCCAGGAGTGGGTCTGTGATGGATTTAAGGTGGGACAACACAAGGCGCTCAAAAGACTTCATTAGCACAGAGGTCAGGGCGACGGGTCTGTAGAGTTTCAAAGCGATAGTAAAACTGGTTCAGCTCGTGGGCAAGGCGTGAGTCGTTCATGGAGTGGGGATTCTGGTTTGTAGCTGGTGATCTGTCTGAATCCTCTCCAGATAGAAGCAAAGTCATTCCTTGAGAACTGGTTTTGTAGTCTCTCTGCATACAGCTGTTTAGCATCTCGCACCGCCTTGCTAAACCTGTTCTTCGACTCCTTAAACCTGGCTCGGTCCCCATTCCTAAATGTCTCCTCCTTTTCCAACCTCAGCTGTCTGAGCTTAGCTGTAAACCAGGGTTTGTCATTGTTAAAACTCACCCTGGTGCGTGTTGGAATGCAGCTGTCCTCACAGAAGCTGATGTAGGACATCACAGCCTCTATAAACTCATCCAGATTGTTGGTAGCAGTCCTGAAAACATCCCAGTCAATGCAGTCCAAGCATTCCTGAAGATCCTCTACAGCTTCACTAGTCCATTTCTTTGATGTCCTTACTACAGGTTTACAGAGTTTTCATTTCTGTCTGTAAGTAGAAATCAGGTGGACCATGACATGATCAGAGTGTCCCAGTGGAGCGGAAATAAATCCGCTGGAGTTGTTACCCTGATGTTCATGAGCTCTTCTCTGGTGAAAGTGCTCCGGGAATCACAAACCCGAAAACTGAGTTAACACACAAAAACAAAACAAAACAAAACAGAGCACACCTAACTCCGAGGCAGCTATAGACAGCGCCATCTTGAATGAAAAAAAAAATTGTCTTCCAACTGTGTGTGTCTCGTGACTATTTTGGTCCAGTCATTACTGAGTGATCATGGCTGCAAGTTAGACTACTTTAATTAATAACCCAAGGTGGATGATAATATTACTAATAATAATAATAATGCCCCCCCACCCCCAAAGCAAAACAAAACCTTGGAGAAAAAAAAATGTTATGAGCTGAACTGCAGATCAAAATGGAGGTCTGAACCGAAAGATTTGGAGAATCATTACACCCTAATCAATTCGATATAAAATGAGTTCAGTTAGAGAATCGTACAGCAGTGGGGTGCAGATTCAAGAGACAGTTTTTATGTCATCTTAGTTCTGATAATGAATTAGTTAATATTGACGCTTAATAAACCAACCGCTGATCATCCCTTTAATCGTCGATAGCCAATCCAATCGCTAATCGGCACAAGCCTACCTGGCACACTGATATAATGCAGCTACAGCCTAATACATCCATTCAAATGTGCTTGAATCTACCCCTGTACTGATCCTTAGGATCTGTTCAGGACATTCGAATAATTTACCTGAGTTTGCTTCTTCGATGGAGAAGAGATCTTCTGGGCACTTCCGCCCAATTCTCCCTGCATCTCTCTGGCTACGGCTAGCAAACAATGCAGTATACATTTCAACTCTCAGCCGCTGGTTGTTGATGCATCAGTATTCTGCAGAAACCTGATTAAAAAAAAGTCACCTTAATCACTCCCCCATAACATCAAAAACATAGCCCACCAAAAGTAATATATCCCTCTATGTATCTCGGATGATAGCTCAGTGTTTCCCCTAGGATGGAGTTGTAGCAACTGAGTTGAGGCAAAATTTTTGTCTGAATAAACAAATAAACTAAAAAACAAACTTGTACCATGACAAATATGTAATTTCACATCACATTGGGCCATTATTTTCACCATATCTCTGAACAAATAGTTGGAAAAGCTAGAGCAGATAATAAATAACCAACACCCAAAGATCAGTATGCTGTGGAGGAACTACAACCAGTAGATTTGGGGAAAGTATTTTGGTTGGTTCTGATGCTCCACAGTGATTTTACATTTATGGCACAGCATGTTTTGGGCATCACCCCTAAAACCCTGTTAATATGACCTCAGAATAGATACGATTGTTCTTGTTTGCCTTTTGTGTCTTCATTTTACAGCTTTTGACATTTATCTGTATAGACAATATAAAAATAGGCAACATGAGAAATCACCTCCCTTCTTAGGTGCATTTTATTTGCACATTAAAATCCAAAAAGAAACGTCTCCTCCAAAGCATCACTAATTTGCTTTGTTAACCTCAGCTCCTCCGGTCACCAGCATCCTTTCTTTTCCTAACAACCACTTTTTCAGACTGAAAACTGAAAAATAATTTTAGATGAATCAGTCTGTAGGACAGAGCTGTAGGCTACACCAGTTTACTCTAAGTCTGTAACTGATGTTCTCAACATCGTACAAGTAGGCAGTAATGAAATACAGCTACCAGTTACTTTCTATAAATTGAGCTAATGTTAAGTTACAAAAACGCAGCCTACTGTATAATGTTAAGTTCTCTGCTCAGTTGCACAGTCTGAAGGGGAGGGGAGGTGTAAGTTATGGCAAACCGGCTTCACTTTTCCAGCAGGTGGGGAAACAACAAACAGACTTTTCTTGGTCTTGATAAGCTACCACACCATAACCGACACATACATTTACTGCCAGAATGTTTTCCTCCGATTGCGTTCACCGTCACTTTCTGCCGCTCAGATAATCAAACACTCACTACTACTACTGAACTACTGATTCAGGAGCGGCGGTGCATATAGGGGAAACACTGTAGCTAATTACAACACACCATGTGACAAAAATGTGAGAAAACACATTATGAACAGTACAACAATTAACAATCAAATCGACCTAATTCCATAGCTCTAAATACTGTATGTGCGCTTTATGTGAGTTAACGTTACCTGGTGTTCCCGGAAAAGAGCTGGCCATCTTTCCTGAAAATACAGCACAGAATAATGTTCTATTTAACACAGGCTCCGCCCTCTACTACAGGCACTTGCCCACTGAAATTTGATCGTGCATGTAGCCGACCAATAGGACGGTGCTACCGATACGTGCGTGACGTATAAATAGCGGTGTTCCTACTGCCTCAGCATCCTTTTTTCTTAGCTGCCACAATCCCCTGTCTGGTGTTCAAGACGCCATTGTTTTACATGTGCTGCTGTTTTTTGAGTAAAACATGTTAATTACATTCCTCAAAGTTAAAAGTTAACTTCTCTCATCAAAGAGCTAACTCCTGGGGTGAGGCTAAGGGTTCGCCCTGCGGTCTTGTGTTCACGAAGCCACTGTTCTAACATGTGCTGCTTGTGTACACTGTGCGGTGACGTGTCATCCACAGTCACAGCGGCTGTGGTGCGTTCAAGGCCCAGTCGTACTTTTGCAACCTTTTCGAAAACGGCCCATGGTGCGTTCAAGGACACCACGGCTTTTTCCACTGCAGTCCTTGGAAAAAGTCTAAGCCTTATTAAGGGTGACAGAGGGACAGAGGCTGATGCACACCACCAGACCTCCTCCCTCCGTTATGTGTTCAGCATGCAATTATTTGTGTTTCATGTGCTGCTTGTGTACACACAAAATGCTGTGAATGTTCAACTGATTAAATACAGTACATTCCTAAAGAGCATTCTCCTCCCCACCGAACCCCCTCCATCTTCGGCTCGGTGCGTAACGCGCTTCAGTCTCCACAAAACTGCACGTTCACCGATGCTAAGCTTTGATCCGACCTACGGCCCAAACTGCTCTCCTTGCTAAGCTTGAGAGAGACAAACCACTGGGACAAAAGCCCATGTCCCACGTCGGTCTCCTGGTGGCATCCGAGCGAGACGGTAGTAGGACCTGGGCTTCCTCCTTGCTAGCTGGCTGTCCGGCCTGCGCAACGGGTCGTCTACATTGCCTGGCAGCCGAATGAAGGGCTGCTGCCATGACGGTGACACAATGCAGCAATGCGTGCGCTCACGACAGTGACAGTGTGTGTATGTTTCTAAAACACACAACCGCATTGTCAACATATGCTCAACCAAACCAGTGCATCGTTCAGCTGACTAGCTGTGACGGCATGAGTCGAGCTAATGCCAATCTAGTTCAGATATAGCTGGAGAGACGCAACCAGACAACACGTCTCTTCCAGTGGTGCGGCCTGTGGCACTTTATCACAGTGAACAGCGGCTCATTCTCCCAGCAGCAGCTCGCTGCAGTGGAGAGGAGGATGCCCTGTCCTGACTCGGCTTCACTCGGCAGCTGTGTTGATATTGACGACTGACGACGCGCTCACGGTGACACTGTTGCACGTTGGGCCGTCATTGGAGCAGCGAGCTGTGGTGCGTTCAAGGACACCACGGATCAACAGGCCATGGTGCGTTCAGGGACACTACTACAATCGTTGCACGAGAAGGGCATGAGGGTGCTTTTCTATTCACGACCTCATGGTCATGGAGAGATTGAAGCCTTGAGTGATCTCCACACAGCCCAATTGACTTTGCACCTCAACAGCCTGGGGTTGCGATCAATTGGGAAGACAGCTGGGGATTGTGCTCAACTGCAACACTCCAAGAGCGTATCTGTTGAGACAGGCGCGTCGCTTGGTAGTCCACAGCAGGGGACAGCTGCGAAAGCGCTGTCAGTGATGCTGCTGTTGGGCCTCAGGGCAGTAGTCCATCAGGTGGTCCCTCTGGGCTTGCTGCACAGGCGACGGCTACAATGTTGGTTTGCCAGCCTGCATCTGGACCTCAAGAGGCAAAGGTGATGCATGGTGCTATCTCTCGAACAGCCCTGCGCCTTGCTCTCACCTCTGCTAAGAAGGTGAGTGAGCTGTGTGCCAGTCAGTTCACCCCAGCTGCATGCTGCATCAGGTCCAGGACAATAAATCTGGATGCTTTCTACCCCCCCTACCCCACTTAGGGTGCAGGGGGGTGAGAGTGCATCTATTGTCCATGTGTGCTATGCTAACGTCCTATGTAGAGCACACCGCCCCCATTCGATGCACTGGTCAGCTGTTTGTCTGTTTCAGTGATAGTGCAGTCAGTAAAACCCTGTCCAAGAAGAGCCTGGCCAGCTGGCTTTGTGAGTGAATCTCCCAAGCCTGGATACGGGCGGGAACAGACCTACCCTTAGCGGTGCGTGCACATTCCACTTGGAAGTGTGGAAGTGTCTAAGACCCTTTTTCAGTGGGGTGTGTGTCGAAGAGATTTGCACAATGGCATCTTGGCTTTTACTGTGCCCGTTTGTGCATTTCTCTCTCTTGAATATGTCGGGCTCCTTCTCGGGATCCTGCTCGCAAGTGCGACCTAGGATCTGAAAAATGAGGATCTGGTGACTACTGGGTGTAGAGGGAGAACATACACTGGCAGTGCCTGACGTTCCAGTGCGGAATCAGGGCAGTTCAGGTGTTAATGGTCAGGCCACGCCCCTATCGGTCCAGCGACCTTCTTAGGGGTGTCCCACCACTCTGTCACTAGGTGATGTGGTGGTCGGGGCTTTGGCCGGCCTGTGGCCAACCGGGTTGGTGTGGTGGACTTTGGCTTGTCGCGGCTAGGGTGGACAGTCATCAGGCTCCACCCACTGTACTCATAGAGTCCAGTGAGATAGAATTAAGGTTACGATATGGTAACCCTAGTTCTATAAGCACAGGCCGTCTGCTGAAGAGGCAGTCGGATGCTGAGGCAGTAGGGACCAATGTGGTCTACGTATGAACAGTGAAATCTCAGTTGTTGTTTTTTGCATATTCACAAATGTAATAAAAAGTTTTATTAATTTGAAAGTGGGTTTTCAGACAGCAGTCAGTTTACCCAAAAGTCTACCATTCTTTCACATCCATAAGTGATGCTCGGCCATGTAATTTCCCTTAACTCATTTAACTGCGAAGCTAACTTCAGTGTCCTGTCCTCTCTGCATGTTAGCTTCACAACAGCAACTGTAGCAACAGTTTGCTAACCCACAACACACATGTAACAACACATGCTCGACATTAGTCACGTTTGGCAGAACGTCAAACGGTTAGTTTGTTGTCAAGAAAGTAAATTTAACTATACAGAGTAATGCATTTAAAACAGAATTAATGTAACTTTACCTTTTCAGCACGCAGCAGCCTCCAGTGTAATCCACAGTGGTTGACTCGACCCGAAATCTCAACTGACACTAACGACTGTGTTCTGCTGCTTCTGATTGGCTGGCAGCAGTGGCTCATGTTCTCGTCATTATCCTCCTCGTTACCTATTGGTTGCCGCCTGAAACTTAAAGTTTACAATAATGTGCGGCCTTCCTCACAATAATAACGTATTTCCATATATTAAATACATAAACAAGTAACATTATGTTGCATGCCTTACATAATAAATTACATGGACTTTTATTGCATTGTATTATGTTTTGGTAGTTGAAGAGTTACTTGTCTCAGTATGTTTTTATCCACTTTTTTCTTAATGCTTACCACACTATTTGTTTCTATAAAGTGGATAATTTTAAATGTAGTCTTTTTACAGAAAATACCACCTCATATGCACACCTCACCTATTCCTGTAGGCCAGTCCAATAGTATGTCCATTCTACTGTATTTATCTGTTGGATTTAATGTCAGTTCTCATCTCATCCTCATCAACAGCACACTGTCAACCATCATTTTAATTTATAATTTTATATATATATATATATTGATATTATATATACCACCGTCTTTAATCAGGTAATCTTATTGAGGTTCATTTTTTTGCAAGAGAGATCTAAGTACAGCAGATAGAAAGAAATGCAGTCAGACATTACAAATGGATATACAGCATCAGACACAGTCACAGACATCACTAAATAGATCTGTAGATAAAAGTTTATATGATATCATCTGGTCCTATGGAGATGCTGGTGGCAAGCATTGTCTTACACGTTGCTCCAAAATCTTCCACAGGTATGAAACTGGGTTGAGATCTGGTGACTGTGAAGGCCGTAGCATTTTATTTGCATAATTTTCATCCTCACCAAACCACACAGTTAGCCCAGGTGTACCAAGCATCTGCAGTTGATGTATCTGTTTCCTTTAATTTGTCCTCATCTGTATATTTGTATGTTACTTTTTATCACAATCAACACTTGTGTTGACAGTGGCATCCCCTTTGATAAATATTCTTATTGTTTACAAACTAGCTATAATCTAGTCAACCTGACTGTTCATACCTGATTTTATTTTATGTTATGCAACTTCTATTGCATGTCTTTTTGTCCTGGTAGAGACAACCAGGTCAAATGGATATCAACTGAGGGGCCAGATATGCCAATTAATCCCTGCTATTCCTATATATTTTTCAAAAGGTCACAGAGAACCTTGCTTATAATGTTGATACTAGAGTCCAGCGTGAGAGTGGTGCTTTCACATGATTAATGAGTTATCCCCAAATTATGTTTTGCACCTGGATTGTACTGTAAAAAAATAAAGACATGGTTTACTTATCTAATGTATATACTGTATATACTGTACAAAAGAATTATTTTACCATGGCAAACGGGCTATGTTGTTTGTTGTTGTCAACAACAATAATTAAAAAAAGATTCCTTATTAACCATAAATTGCTAAAGAAGAGGGATTTACTTATTCATGTTGTATTGACGTATACATTTCAACACACATTCAGGCTTTGTTTTTACTTAAATACTTTAAGTTACACACAGAAAGGAAATGAAATTGTACACAATCTTTAAAGTGAATGTTGCTTTTACTTTTTTTAACTAAATAATGTGTTATGATAAGTTAGTAAAAACACAGAAAATCATAGTAGTTTTATGTGAAGACTGTGTGAATGTGAACACATGTTATAATGATGTGTTTTGTTACGTTAAATGAACACAAATCTTTCATTTTATTGAACAAGAAAGTGACTACTTGTCATATGAACATAAAAACATTGAGTTTTTAACTGGCATTTACCATGTGAATTATCAAAATACACATTTTGTGTGCACAGCAACAAAGTAATAGCCTTCAAACAAATATGTTTTTTTTAATGCTAATACCGAAAGTATTCATTATTGGTACTGGAACTTCCATGCTGTACAGTTTTATTTCCAATTAATCAGCTGATTATCTCACAAACATAACCAACACATATCTGTCCATGTAAGGTTAGCAAAGACATAGAGCTAGAGAACAACGTTAGAAATTACAATCCAACTACATATTATTTCTACCAGAGCAGTAAAATGTGAAGTTTAGCTATCTGATCTAAGCTTTCATGCTGTACCGTTTTATTGCCGATCAGCTGATTGTCTCATGAACATAACCGATACATTTCTAACTTACAGCTCTGGTAATAAGGTTACATGAAATTACAATCCAACTAAGGTTATATATTTCACAACATTGACAAGGGAATAAGTTACTTCTCTCTGTGATTATGGCCAGCTTCGGGCTAAAATCAATTTGCTAAAGTTGCTCTAACTTAATTACCTGTCCAGCAGAAAACAGGCAACTTCAGTGCAGCTTTGAGAACATTTGTCCTGCATGAGCTACTTCCATCTGGGAAAATCCACAATGATTCAATCCTTTATTTCTGCATCGTGTTTTCACTTATTTGACGACGAATATCCACATGCTGTCGGCTCGTGATAAATAATTGGTGTGTTCCTGCATTTGTCCAAGTTTCACTTCTCTTCTTACTTCTAATAAACCAGATGTTTACTTGTTTATTAGAAGTAAGAGTTATTTGAAGAAGAAATGTGCACTTGTTTTGAAGTAAACAGTTTCCTAACTTCAGTTCTCCTGAGGATCGGTTATTTGGATCTCCAGTCTTTGTGATCCTGGGCTGGATGATCTCTGAGCATTGCTGATTGTAGTGAGAGCTACCGGATCGTTTGTCTGTTCTAATTCCTCTCTTCTGCTTCACTATCCTTTGTTTTTTTTACAATCTCTACTCCACCTCGACCTGTTTAATTGTGGTGCAGTGCACAATTAGCATATAAATTCAGGTTTATTAAACATGCCAACAATTAGCTATTGAGTTAGCTTGTCTGTTTTTTTGTGATGTGCAATGTTCAACATTGTGAATGCGCCAGATAACAGGGTTAACAGTGGAAAACAGCAGGGACAATGTTACAGTGGTTACTTTTTTATATATGTTACTGCAAAATATTACTTCTTCAGCGCCTTTAATTTGTTTATTATTTGCCTTAGGCTGTGAACAACGCTTATTTCACTTAGCATTTTCGATCTCCCTCACAGTGCCAGGTACCTGCTTCCTTATTTCCTCTTCCCCCCTATTAAGGAGAAGCTCTAACATGTTGCATTCTTGCCAGTGTTGCATCTTGCACAATATGAGGAGAAAAAAACACTGTTGCAAGTTGTTCCTATAGACTGTAAAAAACAATTAATAATGTTTCTGGCAATTGACACTTAGCATCTCTCCAAAAAGGGGAAACGGGTCCACCCGAGTTTCATGTTTCCATCACTGCCCATCAGAGCTGAAGCCAAAAAATCGTACTAGTACTGCTGCAGAGTTATTTGACCTGGAAATCAATGCCAAATGTACCCTTTCTTACAGAAGACAAAAGCCAGATGTCTCCACTGACGAGCCCTTCCATCCCTTCCTATTTTCCCCACATCAGGAGCTCTGAGGGTGGGGAAGGCAAGAGGGCCAACAACCCTCCTCAGCCTGTGCCTGCATGAGCAGATGTTCCACTTCATTGGAGGAACAGGGAGGTGGGTGGTGGTGTCAGAGGGGGTAAATCTCCAGCCTCCTATAGTAAAACTCTATTCAATAATGTGCCTGTGTGTGTATGTATGTAGGTAGATTTCCCCATCAGTAAACACTTGAGCAGCTTTAACCGGGCAGTATCTTAACAAGCTTGGGCTCGCTCACACACACACACACACACACACACACACACACACACACACACACACACACACACACACACACACACACACACACACACACGGGATAGACATCCTCACAAATGCAGCTCTGCATGTTTGATTACCAAATATGGAGTAAGGAGAAAGAGACAGGGAGACAGCAAGTACCATGTTAGTGAATGGAACACTGACCTATTCCCAAACTGCTCTGAAAACACATGGTTAGCTGTACTGACCTGTGTGCTTTATAATCTAATTGTTGTGTAGTGGGTGGCTGCTAGAATGTGTTGTTGAGTTTGTGTGGAGCATGTAGTGACTTTGTGGATGATGTTTCACAGGCACAGGGAGCATTTAAGCTACCTATCTTGTTTTGATTTCATTTGCTACTATGTTCTCGAAAAATACAGGTAGGAGTATTGTACAGTGCTGTAAGGTGAATAATTCCAGCTGGATGTATGTTTGCCCGGCAGTATATGGTACGAGGTAGATTTATTTAGATGAAGTATCTCACTACAGTAAAGCTGTGTGTGTGGTGCAGTTGTCATCTCACCCCGAACATTTGCCGGAGGTCAGGGTCACGAAAACGGAAAGGGATGTTGGAGACATGTAACCTCTTGGGCTGCTGCTTCTCTGATGAATCAGTGGGCTGCAGATGAAGCTGCTGGGAGCTCTCCGTCTGTGCAACCTCATCTGCTTGCTGCAGGGAAACACACAGCATGCTCACATTAGCTCCTATTGTAAAATAGGTGAGACGCAAGGGGCTGGAGTTGAAAAAAATAAATCCTGTACAATAGAGGAGGAATGACAGAACAACATGGTAAAATACTGAGAATGGAGAAGATTGTGACAGTGAAAGACAAGGAAAGGAGGGCATCAAAGTGAGCTGTTTTAAACTCTGTGCTGACAAAGTGAAAAGAGTGTCTTTACTGAATTCACACAAAACACATAGAGCACCTTTAGTACAGGAAGTAGTTTACCCTTTAAGTAGAGAGGTGGAAATTAAGGGGTGGTGAATGGACAGCTGACTTTCATGCAGGAGACTAGTGTTTGCGACCCATCATAGAACGATCACCATTCTTATTATTTAGTTGCCATACCCTAACCCTACCCTAATCTTAAAAAAGTGTTCCGTTCTTGGTGTAGTTAAGGTTTGGATCTCAGGTTACGGCCCTAATAACAACACAGCCCTAGTAGTTATTTAGCTGTCACTAATGTCCTATCCCCGCCTTTTACAGTCATCACATTAAAAAAAATACAATTGCTATTTTCTACCATACTCATGTGGAGATCTTGATAAAACAGTTGTATTCTGCATCCAAGATGGCGCTGAGTATAGCAGCCTCAGTGTTAGGTGCACTTTTTTTGTTTTTGTGTTAATCCAGTTTTCGGCTGTGATTCCTGGTGCTCTTTTACCAGAGAATAGCTCATTAACATCAGGGAAACAACTCCAGCGGATTTCCATCTCTCTCGCTGTTGATTGGGCGGTGAAGCGCCGCAGGAGAGGAAAACTAGCCGGGTCACCCGTGCGCCTTCGCCATAGGGGTCTCCACACACCGCTACCGGCAATATTTCTCTCCAATGTGCGCTCACTGTGCAAAAAACTGGAGGAACTTCAGCTTCTGGTGGGGAAAAACAGAGACTTTTATTCATCTTCTGTTCTGTGCTTCATGGAGACGTGGCTGTGTGAACTGATACCGAACTCTGCGCTGCAGCTGGCAGGCTTCCAACTGTATAGAGCGGACCGTGACACAGAACTCTCTGGCAAAACAAAAGGTGGAGATATCTGTTTTTATATTAACAATGGCTGGTGTACTGACGTGACAGTGATTCAGCAGCACTGTTCTCCTAATCTGGAATTTCTTATCATGAATTGTAAACCGTTAATGAGTTTGCTTCATTCACTCTGGTCGGTGTTTACATTCCGTCCCAGGCCAATGTGCACAACGCACGGCGCATGCTGGCCGACCGGATACTGTGTGTGGAGCAGACAAACCCGGACTCCCTTGCAGCCTGCTTCAAAGCGTCCACCATCATCCCTGTCCCCAAAAAACCAAGGACCACGGGATTAAACGGCCACAGACCCGTCGCCCTGACCTCTGTGGTTATGAAGTCCTTTGAACGCCTTGTGTTGTCCCATCTAAAATCCATCACAGACCCACTCCTGGACACCCTGCAGTTTGCATACAGAGCCAACAGGTCTGTAGATGATGCAGTAAACATGGCCCTTCACTACATCCTCCAGCACTTGGACTCCCCAGGAACCTACACCAGGATCCTGTTTGTGTATTTCAGCTCTGCTTTCAACACCATCATCCCGGCCCTGCTGCAGGACAAGCTCTCTCAGCTGATCGTGCCTGACTCAGCTGGATCACAGACTTCCTGACGGACAAGAAGCAGCATGTGAAGCTGGGAAAACATGTCCCTGATTCCAGGGCCATCAGCATCGGTTCCCCTCAAGACTGCATTCTTTCCCCTCCCCAAAACCTGCATTCTATTGAAAATCCAGCAGGGGGTGAATCTTCTGGTTGCAAAAAGAAGTCCGGCTTCATTAGAAATAATGGGAAAATGACCCTACTTCTCAGCTGAATAATTACCCCAGTAAACGCTTTCCTGATGAGTTTATGGTCTCAGTCGCTAGTTTCAAGTCTTCTTCAATACAAAATGATGTTCATTTAGTAAATTATGGTCCCATTTATTTTAAAATAGACCTCAAAGCAGAGTATGTTTCAGGGCGGGATTATCTATGATTGACAAGTTGTTACCATGGCGACCTGTCAATCAGGCTAGAGCCGACTCGTAAATTTAACCAGCGCCGTTGAAAAAGCTTATTAGGAGTCAGCTGTTCACTTTCTCTGGTGAGTACATTTAGTTTTAAGACTGTTGTTCGCTAGACAAAGTTATCAGCCCTGTTAAAATGACAGTTAACGTGAGTTGCAGTTGCACTTAGCTAAGTAAGCTAGCTAGCTCCGCACATGGCCGTTAGCTCGTTACTTCCGGGCACTTCCTGGTTGCGCTCTATCGACCAAACTCGAGGGTTCAAAACGGCAGTCCACGAACCAACGGGTGATGTCACGATGACTATGTCCATTTCTTATATACAGTCAATGGTCCAACAAGGAGGACACCCCTGTGGAGACCCAGAACACACTGGAGGGATTACAGTTCCCCTCTGGCCTGGGAAGTCATCAGATCCTCTACAAAGTGCTGGGGAGAAGGATGTGTGCACTACCTTGCTTGGCCTGTTCCCATCAACCAGATGAGAGGTGGAAAATAGACGGATGGATGAGCTAGGGAAGTAATGTTATGTCATGTTGCATTATGAGTATTTCAGGGATCAATCCACCATAAGCTTGAGTCTGTACCCCACAGCACTGGGCTGTAACAATTTGTGTAAATTGCAGGTTGTGTTACATCTAGTGTCAAAAAGACTTTTTCACAGGCACATTCAGAAGACACAGCTGCAGATCAATGAAGAAAATATTCTGACAGTCACTAACAATGACTCGATTATCTGAGCCATTAGGTCCAACAAAAGTCGATTGGTTTTGGTTGGCCACAACCAAAAGCACATTGAAGCCAGTCATAATCAGCCTTTTGTCCTAACAATCTATGCTGCAAATTAGGAAAACTGTAGGTTCCCACTTCACTGTTTGCAAGATTGATTACAGCCTAAACGATGGGTATACTGTACACTGCAGTTTGTCTGGGAAAGAAAATGGCTGGCCACCTGTTAGAATCTCTCATAAAAAAGGGACAGTATCACATATCCAGGGCTGTTGCTGTAAATACTCTTTCCTGTCTAACGTTCTTGTCCAGATCTATTTCGCTAGTTAAGGATCACACCCTCTAGTATAGTGAACACAAATGATCCATGAGTTACTACAGATGCCATCGTATTTGTCCCTGAATTTGCCATACACTGTCCAGCAAACTTTAGACTTTAAATTGAAAAATAAATCAGCTTCAGATCCCCCTTCTTCATCATAGTAAGAAGTGTGGCATCATTTAGCCTGTCTTTATATTGACTCATCCCAGGACTCGAGTTTGAGACTCTGACTTGAGTCGCACTTAAGTCGTACACACAGTGACTTCAGACTTGACTTGAGACTCGTCCTCAAAAGACTTCAGACTTGACTCGGACTTGAGCTTGCTGTTATTCCTCTCCCTGCGTTACATATAACCTACCTACGTAACACATACTACATATAGTAAAGTAAAGTATGTTTAGCTCAGCATTGGCCATCTAATATTAGCTTGCTTTTTGCTTAAGCTACGACCTACGACTGTCGTTCGTTATGAAAATAGGAACAAGCGTTTTTTTGCTTGCCAACCTTGTGGTAGTCAAATAACATAATCATTTGCGTCCCGCTGGCTGCCATCATGTTAATTATTAACGTTGGCTGCAAACAGGTTACAGGTTTATTGTTGATCATGTAATGTTACAGTTTTATTGTTAACGTTACACTGGTTTAAAGATTCTGGGGGATGTGTTGACTTACTGTAGTTTGTAAACCGTCATTAGTTGTAGAGGCATTGCACATTAGGCTACACTGTTGTGCTTTGTAAGTGAAAAACAGGTTACAGTTACTGAATTCCTTATAGATATGCAGTTTTATAAGCAGCCTGGAAGGAACGCAGCAGGTGATATGACACTCATTATCACTGCGAGTGACTTGAGATTTGACTTGGACTCAGAGACTCGTGAGCATCTCTGACTCATCCTCTTCAAACCGAATTGCTTGCATTGTGAAATAAATTTTAAGAGCACTTGCTCTTTTGACTTCAAAAATTCAAAAGACTGCTGCCAAACCCAGATCGCTTGTTGCATTTACCACCTACAAACTGTGCTAATTTGTTTTTTTTTATTATGGGAAGCTCATGTTCATGTGGCAGAACACAGCCATGGGTGAAGCAGTGGCCTTTGGAAAAACAGGAGGACCTCCCATCATACTCAGGGAATCTGACTCCCTCTATGAAAGCTGGCAATATGGCAACTTCGCAGTTTAGTTATAAACTGCAAGACAGCTGTTCCTGTTTAGTCATGATGATAAAAAAGTGTTTCATAATTTTTTGCATTTGTCAAGAAATTATTGCAAGAGAGTTAATTCTAAACAATTCAATAGTCAATAGTAGTTTCATGTTAAAGTTTTGAAATTCACCAACTCTCCCACTTCCTGGCCTCAGCTGCAGCCTTAGATGTGATCAGCTATCATTTCAGTTTTATTTATTTGTGTTGGTATTAGTGTCATATTCATTTCAAAAAGGAGTCTTTCAGGAGGTCGTAACCATCTGTCTGTTTCTAAATGTTTCAAACTGTGCTGGTGTGTTGTTTGCAGTGGGAAGCAAAAAAGGAGAGAGAGCAGAAGGAATTGATATACATAATGAATCAGAGCTACGTGGGGATGGAGGGATGAAGAGAGAAAGAATGAAAAAGAAAGACATGGAGATGGAACGATGATGTCAGCTAAACTTTCCCGATCAATGAGAGAGAAGTGCTGAAGGTAGCTGCATTCATACTGAGAGAAAGAGAGAGAGAGACACAGAGAGAGAGAGAGACAGACAGAAAGAGCGTAGGGAAAAGTAAGGGAGGGACAGTTCAGTGTTGCATGCAGGCTAAGTGCTGACTGAAGAGAGAACAGTAAAAATGGATAGACAGGATAGGATAATGGCATAACAACACACACACACACACACAAA